TGCTTTGGAAATGACAATAAATTTTTTGATTACCCAACCCTTGAGTTGTTTTGTTTTTCATTTACCCAACCTTTTACTCACTCAAAATTTTGTTTACCCAACCCTTTTCTCTTCGGTGCCACCCCCTGCCATAAATAATGACCGGTCCCTTATATTTGGTGGCCTGAAATTATGTAAATGAGCCATTAATAACAAAGAGTGGCCAAGTTAAGTTAACAAAGCTAAAATCAGATGAACCTCAAGGTCTTGACCTGCAAGGGTATTTAGCCAAACATCAGTTTTCGCATTCAGTATTCAGATTATTTAATGTTAGTGTGTTAATAAGTATCTTTAATATCCATGACATCTGCAGTTTGTCAGAGACGGCTCAGAGATTTTTTAGAGAAAAGGTTTAGCACCCCTTCGTAAAAATATGCCCCGCCCAAATCTCAATATTTCATTATTTTGTTCCCTTGCCCCTACATCATACCTTTTGTGCCCTCGAGTTCTTCTCAAAAATTGCCCAACTCCGCAGTGTGGCTTGTAACCTTGTTGCCATAATTATTTTCTGAAGGCTTCAATGAAATCTCTACTCTAACACCTGACAGCGATGGAAGCCATATATATGCATGTACAAGACTTTTCCAAATGTTTTAATTAAATTTATTGAACCAAATTTTAATGAACAGTTTTGAAGTTTTTTAGATTATTGAAAAGAAATGTATGGGTACAAGAAATGGGGCATAACCAGTTAAATTGAGCAAGATACAAGACCAGGTCACTGGATGGTATTTCAACACACTGGTGGACATGCAACCTAATACCAGCAACCTGTGTCACATTTGCATAGTTTTACACTGTACTGGAAAAATAATGTCAATGAATTTTATAGACTCACTATATATGATTTATTCAATCGCCAGCATGAATAATTTTCAAGTTATGAGTGTTGTTTTAAAATTAGTTTAATTTTATACATAATCATATCAATTTTTGATATCATAAATGAATATAGTAGCTTTTGATTATACAAGTTATAACAATGCACGGATCAGCAAATAGCGACTGGTCTTTTTGAAAACCATACAGAAAGTTTCAAATTTCACTACCACTACTGCTAACTATCACTGGCAGCTGCATCCAATAGCAGTAGTGGAAGTCAAATCTGATCTCTCCAGTACCCTTTGAGATTTGCACCAGTCACTTCAATTCAATTCCGGGATACCGGATACACATGCACAGTTATTGTTGACTTGCTTAGCGCAACTAGCTTTTCAAGTTGGAGGTCCAGTTATTAGGATTCTGTGAATTAATTATAGAAAACTGGCTTTGGTTTTGGCTGTCTAAGCAACAATCATCACACTGATTATGCACCTGTCAATGTTAAGCCCCAGAGGGGGTCGGGGGGTCGGGCATAGGTGGGGCAATTGATTTTTTGAGCAAGTTTTCAATCAAATGCCCCACCGTCGGGCAATAAATATTGGTCAAATACCCCATCATTTTGCAATAAATTGCAATAAATACTATATTAATTTAATAAAAGTCATTCGGTTCAAATTACCCCAACTCAGGGCCAAAATAGTAATCAAAATCCCCAGGATGGGGATGCAATTGATGATCAAATACCCCACATATGCCCGACCCCCCCCCCCTCTGGGGGTTAACATTGATAGGTGCATTATCACACCGATTTGGTTGTTTAAAAGTTAAAGTTAAAGTCCAGGCTGCATATATGACTTTTATCCTGCATGGTACCTGGGACAGTCCGGTTTTCAAGTGTTTATGTGGGATTGCCTGTTTCATGTGATATTCCAATAACCAGGCCAGTTTGGCTGATTAATGCAAGCTACACAGCAATATCTCGGGGCTCTTCCACTGAAACAATCATTGGTTGCAATATCATCCAGCATTTGCAAAAATCCACTACCTTTGTCAAGGATCATTTGGCATGCTAGTTCGACTATGTTAAAGACGTAAATAGCACAACACTTGTACATATACTGCACAACAGCAATCCTTTTACTGGTATATCATATTTACATATTGTTGAAATATTCATGACCATTGTCAATGTATTTATAAATAGGAATGTGCATGAACTTGTCCCTAGCTTGAAGCTGAAATATTCCGGCATATCTTTTGCATCATTTGTCCTTCTACTAACAAACTTTTAGTCATTAAACAAGATTATAAAATAGTTGAATTTCATTCCATTCGTTTATACTCGCAATAAAGTACTAAACCATATTAAAACCTGTACAAGTGATAGTACAACGAGCGATTATCCAAGTCTTTTGAACATCGCGTACGAGCAAATCTCACTGTGTTTCTCTAGAGAAACCATTGATCCGTTTGTTCGATCGCCGTATTTTTAAAAAAGATTGAAATGCAAAATTCACAGGGAAGATTGAAGAATTTCGGAGATAAAAACTGTTTGTCTTCGAGTTTCTACCTCTACAATTCGCCCCCCGGATTGGAAAAGTAACAATTACGTAATGTCCTAAATTGTTGGAGTCACATGACCAGCGTTTACCAGGGCCCAGTGAGCTCTATATATATCTGGAGTAAGAACTTCAGTAATTCGGTCAATGAGAAAAGTGAAGCCAAGTAAAGCCAAGATGGCGGCCATTGACGTCCAATAGCTCTGAAGGTCGTAAACAGTTTTTATACCATTTTCCCCAGCTAATTCCAGTTTTTTCTAATGGACCGTATCACTAATCAAGTTTTCAGTTCATAAAATCACAATATTATTCTTTAAATGGCGGAAATTGAAGCCGTTATTGGACGTCAGTTCCAGTCCCTTTCTATCGGTTTTTGTCTGCGCGGTTAACACGGAACTGGCTTCACTTTGAGCAACCAAGTTCCTACTCCAGATATATATGGAGCTCACTGCTAGGGCCTTGCCCGCTTTGGCGGCCATATTAGAAAAACCGGGCGGACAGGCCCCGGGTACGAGGTTGATTGATCTAAGCGTACGTATAGTAATTTCTATCAACGCGGTTAGGTTAGATGGTATTTTCAAATCTCAGGAGCAAAATAAGTAGCACAGACATTGAAATGCTAGTAAGCAGTAGAATTAAGCATAGTTAATAGAAATAAACATGGTTAGGAAAGTCGGTAAACTTCAAAGAATTTCCTATTCAAACTTCAACTGATGTTGAAATGTAATTCCGAGTGCACACATCTTTTGTCTTGCGTTTGTTAATATTCAAATATTACGATTCAGCGATTAAAACGAAGGTTTTTATTGGGTAATCGCCTCATTATACAGAATCCGTGTGCACAAATTTCCATAAACTTGGACAAAAACATAGAACAATGACTTTTGTCAAGCTTCCAAACCATGTTTATTTTTTACTAACTATGAATTAAGCGAATTATATAGTGTTTGCAGGTATTTTGATGCACCCTGTATCGTATATATATATATATATATATATATATATATATATATATATATATATATATATATATATATATATATATATATATATATATATATATATATATATATATATATATATATATATATATATATATATATAT